CTGTTGTGTCGATCCGGAGAATGTCGACTTCTCACCTGACGCCGTTGTTGAAGTCGATGACATAGGTCCTTTTCAAAGGCCAGACATTGGGCTGTGTCCACAGAGGGACGCCAGGTCGGGTGAGTAGGTGCCACCCCGAGAGAAGCGTAGGCACCTCCACCTTCACCTGCTTCATGTGCTTCAGCAGGGTCGTGCGGCGAATGAGGTATGCTTGAAGTTCCTCACAGGTCCTCACCTTTGTTCCTTTGGAATTCACTGAAGAATTCATCGCGCCTCGGTGGGACCGAAGATCACCCAGCTCTCATGTCTCTGAGGCTCAACGCTGCGCGATCTTTCAAGCGAATCACAGCCAAACACTTCGAAAAGCCCTGCTCAGCAAGAGTCAAGGGGCCCTGGAGACATAATACCCCAACGACTGGGTCTACTATTGGAGAAGTTCAGATAGTAAACTGGAAGTGAGTCGATGGCGTGGTCCGGCAATTGTGTGCTCTATGACTCCTCGCGGTGGCACTGAGTCAATTCCGGTCCCTTCAGTCTACTGGTTGGCTCATGGATCTGCACTCGTTCGAGTTTCTCCTGACTGGTCTTCGTCCTGAAGCACCCCGAGAAAGGCAGTCTCGTTTGGAGCAGTTTCCGCAGACTGCCCGAGTGTCTGATGTCCAGGCCACCGTTCGCCAGGCTCTTCAACCCGTGCGTGGACCAGTTCGTTTTTTGGGCCTCATGGAAAACAAACCTTTTGCTGGCGCATCGGGCGAACAAAACGACATGAAGGAGCCAGAGGACTCTCCAGAAGAAGATGAAGTGGCAAGAGAGAGTATCGAAGATCACCGACCGAGAGATGGAAGAAGATGGTCCGGAGACAGCTAAGATCGTGACAGCTTGATGGATTACCTCCGGTGCAATCCACGGATCCCATCTTCCAGAGGTACATGGACACCCTGGAGCTTCTGGACGATGATGAGATGCTGATGGCCGAGCATTTCAATGAGAATAAGCTGACTCCTGAACAGCGAAAGGAGTTCGAGGAAGCCAAGGACTCGGCTCTGAAGGTGTGGATCGAGAATGCTGCCTGCAAGGCGGTTCCTGAAGAGGAGGCCAAGGAGGGCGAGGTGGTGCCCGCCAGATTTCTTGAAAGATGGAAGCCGAGGGTCATTCTCCAAGGTTTTCGCGACAAGGACGTCTTGCAGGAGTCGCGCGTTGAGTCGTCTTGGACGCATGGTCTGGGCTGTGCGCCGCAAATGGAAGGTTTGGTGCGCTGATGTAAAGTCCGCATTCATGCAGACAAACTCTATCGATGATACCACCCGCATCTATGTGAAGCCCCCGGCCGAGATGAGAAGGAGACTGGAACACGGCTCATGGGTTTGAAAAGCCGTGCGATCTTGAAGGCCACGAAGCGTGCGTTCGGGGATGTGCGAGCACCGTGAGACAGCCAACGACCTGGTCAGTGACCTCACGTTGATCAACCACCCGTTGGACCGGTGCTTGTATCTGTCCCTACGACCGGCATCTCAGGAGGACCGCAGCTTTCTGGTCTTCAAGAACAAGGGCGGCCACTGGATCGTGGATGGTGCTCTCGGACTACACGTTGATGACTTCCTGGGTGCTGGTGAAGGCATCTACAGTCTCAACGAGGTGAAGGCCGACGCTGCTGGAGCTTGCGAGAATTTTCCATAACCGGGTGCGCCTGCTCTCTCACAAATTCCGGTTCGGGTGATGGGACTTCGGAGACAAGATGAGGTTTGGTTTGATGGATCTGACGTTTGTCAGAGCCCCGACATGGAGGTGATTGGCGTCTCACTGACAAAGTATGTGCACAAGATCAAGCCCTTGAGCATGGAGAAGGTGAGGAAGAACATGCAGGACGACAAGGAGCACAGGTTGCTTCGGGCTTTGGTCGGTGCCATGTCATGGCCGGTCAGCTGCCACAATCAGCATTCTTCAGGCCAACATCAACAAGCCGACCGTGAAGGACATGCTTGGTGCTAACAAGTGCCTGAGGTTCATGAAGGAGGTGGTCAAGGATTACACCTTCACTATCCGCTGTCATGGAGAGTTGGAGCGCTTGCGGATCGGCGTCTACTGTGACGCGGCATGGTCAGTGTGACCAGATGGAAGCTCCCAGGGTGGCATGCTCATGTTCTTGCCCAACCAGGACGAGGTGCGAGGAGAGACACCGTTCCCTGTTACAGTGATCGATTGGTCCAGCAAGAAGTTGGTTCGCATGTGTTGGAGCTCACTTGCTGCTGAAGCTCAGTCAGCAACGATTGCCATGGACGAGCTGGAGTGGGCGAAAGTGTTCTTCGCTTCCATGGTGCGTGCACATGTTCATGGAGTCTCCGGTGATCACCGATGCGAAGGCACTGTACGACAGCGCTGGGTGAGTCGAGACTCGGCCAGTTCAGGTGGGTCAACTCCTTGCAACAACTTGCCGACGGACTCACCAAGCCTTCTGCGAAGGATGCCTTGGCTCATACATTGGCCCGTGGAGTGCGCGCCCTCAAATACGACCCCAACTTTGTGGCGGCCAAGAAGGTCAGTGCAGAGGCCAAAGAGAAGGAATACCTTGAATATGAGAAGGCAGCGGAAGAGCTCTTCGATGGCCAGGTCTTCTACGTCGACAAGAGCGAGTTGAAGGAGAAGCAACAGCTGTGCATGCTGCCCGGATGCAACAAGCAGCGAGATTCGTCCACCGAGGGCAAATCGTTGCTGCAATCGTCGCCGCTTCTAATACTCACATCGTTTTCGGCAAGGGTATGGCGGCGACGAATGGCAGAAGGCAGCGAAGTGCGCACTGGCATTGCTGGCTTCCGAGGCGACGACAGCAGAGGCTGCGAATGAGACGGGTGAGAAGGACGAAGGTCAACCCCTGACCAACATGGCCATGGTCATCGTGTTGTTCGCTGTGATCGGCATGATTTCTGCGTCCCAGCTTCTGAAAAATGTCATCTACATGATCGCCAATAAGGTCTACCGGATCTTTCATCCTGCCGACGAACCGGGGTTTGACTATGTGGACGAGCCGCGGTTAGAAGCGAGCCGTGGAGAGATTGTGAATGCCGCGCGCCATGGCGAACCTGAGTATGACATGACCCCGATTTCGGACGAGATGGACGTGGATGAAGAGGGCCATGAGATCATTGAACGTTTTCAAATGACCAAGGAGAGGTGGATGCGCCTGTAGGGTCAACAGAAGTGGAGATGGACCAATGAGATTCTCTGGGCGGAGGCAGTCTCATCACAGATGCGAGGATATGTCTTGACGCATATCCTCCAGGAGAAGCGTGGAGAGGAGTACCTCACATTGACCTTGAAGAAGGATTGCATGAGCACGACCGACGCTGAAGCCTGTCAGTGGCACAGGTTTCTCAACAGCCACTTCAACCTCATCGTGGAGACCCACGTGGACGTTCGTGAGATGAGAAGACCCCCATGAAGCTGAGCGAAAAAGATTCCAACAAGGTCTTCGACGAGACCGGCAACAGCAGACCTATGGCAGCTACAGCCATGAGACAAATGAGATGGCACACACCCGAATCAATGGAGCTTGGGAATTTGTGAGTTGTAAAGAAGTGAGATGATGGTGGAAAGAAAAAGAACATGAAGATCATGAAGGCCGAGTGAATCCGAGTGAGGTCTGTCACGAAGGACTGAAGACTGAGCAGGGGCATTTGCAAGCCCTTGTTTATTTTTGAATGTTTTCCCTGCAGGGTGGTCAAGAAAAGCTTCCCCCTGTCTGAGTGTCCACTTTCGCAGACACGTGATTTCATGTTTTTTCACACGTGGCCATCAGGGCCCTTGAGTCGATAGACGGCAACGCCCCATAGAAACAGCGCGGTTTAGGATCTCGGACTTCGATTGCCGTGTCCTACGACATTGAGAGTAAGTGCATGTGCGAACAGCAATCCTTGATTAATCCAAAAACTGTCAAGCGTCAGAGATCATTACTCTCACAAATCTAAGCCGGTGCCTTGTGCAGCAAGAAGGTGTTCAAACATGACAAGCTTGTTACAGCTGTAGGGTTCACACCTGTGCATCCCTATTCAAATTCTTGCCTTTGCAATGTCAAGAGAACGACAAGACAACTACATTGGATTCTGCGCAGTCAGGCGGCGTAATCGGCTTCCCATAGTCGCAATTGAGGTCACTCTAGGGGCCTTCAACACGGGAGTTGTGGTCACAATGATCCCATCATTGAAGCGCCATTCCAATTGGCAAAGCTCCTGCAGGAATTCAGGGGGGAGCGCTGAACCAGCAAGCTGGAACTTCCTCGCAATCCTGCTCCCGCTCCCCAAGGGTTCTACCGTTCTCATCCCTGTCCTCCTGTCCCTCCTTGACAAGAGGCAAAAAGAATTCAATCACATAGGTCTTCAACGCGCCTGCCAGCATGGCTTTGGACTACTGTGCAAACACCTGAGAAGGAAAAAACGAAAGCCAGTGGAACCCCTTTCAGTCGCCCGGAGCTAGACTTCGAGTTCAAAGGAGCTTGTGCAAATCTGGTTTATATCAACCAGTTTTCTAAATCGAGGCGCCCCAACAGCTTCCAAAGTATCATTGAGCAACAAAAATCCAAGTCTCTCTTTTCTAGGGGAACATTGACAGCTGCATGACAAACATGGACGGACATCCCAGAAGTCATTCTCTAGAAAATACAATGTTGATAAATCTTGCTTTTTTTCTTTTTGGCACTGTGTTCTCCAATCGTCCTAGAAAATGCAAAATCGACTGACCATCACCTATCATCATCTCACTCAAATTGCTCAGTAGAAAATGCACTGAGCAAATAAAACAACATGTTCAATCTGCTCGTTTCTAGAAAATGCCAGGGAATCAAGTCTGTGTACAAAAGTGGCTCCCTAGAACACATCCATTTTCTAGGGGACCTAGGTCCCTGCATTCCTAGTGGAAATGTTATCGGGGATCCAAAAAACAAAATCATCAATGCCACTAGGCTCTGTTATATAAAATCCACGTGTCCCCCCCCACACCCCCTAATTTATCACTTCGTTCGCTACCTTCAGCCTGGCCTTCGTAAGAAAAGGACAATTTTCATCAATTTTCTTCATTTAGGATTCCTGCGCAAACAGCAAAATGCATTTGTCGGCCTACAATCTTCATGATCGGCTTCGAGAAACCCTCCGGTGGCTTCTCAGGGTTCAAAGAAGCATCTCGGAGGAGTTGAGCCACCACGTGGAGAATAAAATAGACGCCTAAGGTCAGAGAACAGACTGAGCATTCCCAACCTGGAACCTTTGGTCTTTGCCAGGTGCTTGGTCGCCCAACTCAAAATAGCGCGGGCAAATTGAATTGGTCCATTTGCACGGAAAAACGGCATATCTGCACACTCAAGGGCGAGATGCAAGCTGTGAGCAAGGCGACAAAGAGCATAGTTGCCAAACAAGAGGCCGTCCCCGCAGACGGATTCAAAATCAACAAGGCCCCAACAGAGCTGAAGAGGAGAAAACGTATTGCCGCCAAACTCACCTCCAAGACGTCAAGTATTTCCTGAAGCATCAAAAAACACACACGAAAAAATTCAACACAATTCGCACCAACTATCCAAGTACATTGACAATCGCACTCTCATTCGACCCCATAAAAAATTGCGTGTTGCCAATTTCCAGCTGCCTCGTCCAGTCTAAAACAAGCCTGGTCCAACTCTTAGTCAACCATGCACACATCAGATCGGGGCACTTTGTGAACACATCGTGGTTCACTCAGTGTGGGCACGATAGATCTTGCCCTCTGAGACCATTACGGCGCTCTCGTGCACATTACTCTGCTGCACTTGCTCTGGCACTGTCCCTTCCCGGGATTCCCTTCCATTGAGCTTATGGGGTGAATTGGGTTCAGAAAACGTTGGTTTCTTTCTGATGCGACATGTATGCAACCCAAACGTCCCTACACCAACAAACACCTTTCCTGCATAACACACTGGAATAGACATGTTCATGCTGCTGCAGGTCCGTGAAAAGCAAAAGCAAGTCCGAACAGAACCACGTTTGCATCTTTCAGGCCGAAATATAACACCCCACAACAAATCGATCCTAAACTAACCTTCTCCCTCTTTTCAAAACGTTTTGAAACCACTCAATCTCAGCTTCAGCCTGATCGTTGGAAAATGGCTTGATCCAACAAGCCATTGCAAGTTGGAGGCCTGACAAAACTGGAAATAACATCAGCTTTGCCTCTGAGTCCGGCACCTGGGCAGCTGGACTTATCACAGGGTGGGCCCACGACAACACGTGAGAGCAACCGTCCGTTGGCCATGTTTGTGTTTGAGAACTGCCTTGCCTTTCAAACTCAATTCGTGCCCCCCATTAGAATTCCCCACAAAAAGAAACGTGAAGCTCTAACAAGCGTGGCAACAAGAATCAACAATGCCAGGGTCAACATGCAATGTAGCAACCCGGCTATTGTGATGAGACGCAGCAAAGCTGATTGATTGAAATATGATCACCATCTGTGATTTGATTGGATGGGATTGAACACTTTGTTGCAGTCTTTTGGCGCTGGTTGGTCTTCTGGACGGTTGGATTATTGTTCAAGAGATCCGTCTCTTTCTCTCCCTCCCTCTCTCTCTCTCTCTTACTTCCTCTCCCTCTCCCACAATCGGATTCTTGAATGTGCTGCCACGGCCGCTCCAACACACAAAACGAAGGAGAGAAGAGAGAAGAAAAATAGAACGAGAAAGAGAAAGCAACAAGAAAGACAGACATGCAGAAAAAGGAACAAAGAAACAGAGAGAAAGAGAGAGAGAGAGAGATAGAGATGTGAGAGAGATGAGAGCGGGAGAGAGGGAGAGGGGGAGATAGGGAGAGGGAGAGGGAACAGGTGCAAGGAAACTACATACAACGGCTTTTAGGCTGAATGGTGGGCATGGAACCCAGTTCCAGTCAGTAAGACAAACGTATCATCCTGCAACTCCACCAGCCCCCAGCGGACCGGACACAAGTCTCGATTTATGTGTTGTGCGTGCTACCTGGATGGTTACACATCTCGGTTCTGTATGCGTCATGCCGAACATGCGGTCAAAAGTGGGATGACTTCCTGCAACCTTATGATACGGGAACCGATGTTGTGCTGATTGAGGCTGCATGTTTCGAGTGAGTGAGGAGATCGTGAACTTAGGAGATCCTAGCACATTTCACATCACTCACTGCCGCCGCCGCCACCACCACCAACAACAACAACAATCACGCAATAAAGTTGCTTCTGCAACTTGAGTTTGGGGCCGGTTTCGTGGCTCGAACATCTTGGCGTGCGCCGCAGTGGGATAGCACGGATAACACGGTCTTCTCCACATGCACTCATGGCATAGCAGCTTCCTCAGTCTGCCAGCCCATGAAGGCACCAAGAGTGATGGCACGCAATTGGCGGAGAAAAGTGACTGGGAACCGGAGTGTGAAGCGAAGCTGCTTTGAGTTTGCAGGGTGAGACTGATGGCGGAAAGGAGGGTTCTGTATATGAAAGGTGTAGAACAGCGTGAGGGGTTCCTGTGGAAAGTGTTGCTGGTTGCTGAATAGTTTTAATGGAAAATAGATGGAAATAGTGAGAAAACTCGCCATTCAAAGGGTCAAAAGAGTCAAACAAACATTACGATCGGCTCTGCAGCACTTGAGCATAAGGTGAGATTGGCGTCGTCCCAATGAAAGACTTTCTCAGCGTGGTTGCGATTTGTGTCCTTGAACTGTCTTGAGCCGCTGCGCCGCTGTTTTGCCACGCCACTGCGCTGTGCTATGGCTTTGTTCTTGTCGCCGCTGCGCCGCTGCGCTGCTCGCGCGTTTTGTGGTCTTTGAATTGTCTTGCGCCGCTGCGCCGCTACGCCACTGCGCTGTGCTATGGCTGTGTTCTTGTCTGTGGTGCGCCGCTGCGCCGCTACGCCGCTGCGCTGCTGCACCGCTGCGCCGCTGCGCCGCTGCTTTGCAACGCCGTTACGCCGCGTAGTCCACTGTCTGCGCGGTGGCACATGTGCACTTTTGTTACGCCTTGTTGTTGTTCTTGTTGTTGTTCTTGTTCTTGTTGTTGATCTTGTGGTTGTTATTGTTCTTGCTGTTGTTGTTCTCGTTGTTGATCTTGTGCTTGTTATTGTTGTTGTTCTCGTTGTTGATCTTGTGCTTGTTATTGTAATTGTTCTTGTTGTTGATCTTGCGCTTGTTATTGTAATGGTTCTTGTTGTCGTTGTTGTTGTTGTTGTTGTTGTTCTTGTTCTTGTTTTTCTTGTTGTTGTTGTTGGAGCGAGAACGATTCGTGGAGCAGTAGCGGGACGGATCGGAGCGGAGCAACGGAGCATGGGAGCGAGAACGGTTCGTGGAGTAGTAACGGGTCGGAGCGGAGTAACGGAGCATCGGAGCGAGGACGAATATGAGGACACATAGGAGCATACTGGCAGGATCTGGAGTCTAGAGGCGGCGCATAGATGCTCCAACAAGTGACATGATGTGACCAGTATATGTGTGAAGACGCTCGCTGAGCGTCAAGTCTTTTTCACATGTGACCCATCCGCCTTGCCGACAGCAGGGTGGGCTCAACAGTTGAAACAGTGCGGCGTGAGGCGTTGCAGCGTGTTTTGTTTTTTCCTCTTGAACGAGGACCACAATTGCCTTGCCCATTTTTTTCACAATAAAAAGAGAAACCTTTTTATATAAGCATCTTAATCTTGATTAGTCTCCTGGAGTATGCCGCGATGAATTTGGAGGTATTTTCATGGGTATTTTGGGGGTGGAATTAGATTGTGAAAAGGCGTGGCGAAGGAGATCGCTGAGGAGCAGCAGCGTCTACCAGCCAGAAGACGCGTGGGAGGTGAGAGAACGGCTTTGGGAGCGAAGCGGGCCCGTGGGAGGGAGAGAACGGCGGAGAAGAGGTTCGGCTGGGGAGCCCTTTTTAGGCATGCCGCGACGAATTTGGAGGCGTTTTTGGGGTGGAATTAGATTGTGGAAAGGCGTGGCGACGGAGATCGCTGGGAGCAGCAGGTGTCTACCAGCCAAAAGCCGTGTGGGAGGTGAGAGAACGGCTTTGGGAGAGAAGCGGGCTCGTGGGAGGGAGAGAACCGCTTTGGGAGAGAAGCGGAGAAGAGGTTC